GTTTAAGTAGAAAAACGGTTATTATAATTTATACCACCATATCGTTCAAAGTAAAGTCACAAATATTTGATGCATTAAAAATCAATTCAACTTCATGCTTCTTCAATTTCATATTGAATCCAAAGTTTGAATACTTTTTATTTTTATATTTATAAGTTTTCAAATATAATAAGTATAGTAGCTTAGAGTATGAGGGATTTATTATTACGAGTGTTCGTCCAGTGGTCAAAATTTGACCGTAATCATTTTCAACATTAAAGTTCGCAAGTAGCTACTAAACAATAAAAAAGAACCAAAATTATTAGAAAAATCTAAGAAAAGGAAGGGGTTGGGTAAAGTTTGCTCTCTTCACTCTCCTATTTGATTTATTGACTCAAGCTTCGCTCGGCGTTTTTACGACAAAGAAATCGTTAGAGCCGTTTTCGAGATACATGAAATAAATTTATATATAAAAAATACTCGTATAATATATTAAGATACCAGTGTAAACGCAGTGTTTCATTTACCAAACGAGAAACTTATTTATAAATTCTTAGTATATTATTTTGTGAATATTTTTTGAGAAATATTTATATGCTTGGGATATAATAAATAAACAAACAATTTTAACTGACTTCGAATAAGAAGGAAGTTCTCAATTGAGGTGTAAATTTTGTGTGTATGTTATCCATAGCTACTACGTTACTTGCGACGTAGAAGCTAAAAAACCAAAGTTTTCTACCATTCGATGTCATGTCATATTCGGAAGTGGCGCTAGTCAAAATTTGAGATTGTGTTGTTGCTGTTACCTATTTGGGGATTGACACCTGAATACATTTTTTTATTATAAATATTATATAAATAAATATTAATATATATTTTTTAATACAATTTAGAGTTTTAATAGTGGAGAAGCTTATTTAAGGGTGAAATCATCGATTACTGCTCGTGTGACATGCTAGTTACGCCATTGGAGAGTGTCACAGGATATTATCAAGCAGTACATCAAGGGATTCAATATATATCAAACAATTACTAGAGTCACTTGTTATACATATGTATATATTTAGATTGTTATTACGGCTATGATAACAGCAAAAACAAGATAAATTATTTATCTACAACAGGCCGTTTGGTACAATTAAATGTATCCGTGATAAGTTCGCGGTAAGTTATAATTTATTTAATCAGATCACCAACGTTACGGATCTCTTGGCACATTTCCGGCTGGTCCAGACGGATGCCTATTAAAATTAATAAACCCCGCCTACACGGTGGCTAATCTTAATTACTGTTGATAAGATTCAATGATTTTCCTTGCCAGTGTATAAAACTAGTCTTGGGGATATACGACAGGTTTTAGATTTGCTGTGTGAAAATTCACTTGAATAAAAATGAAATAACCTTTAGAATTCTACATTGCTTATATTAGACTACTCTTGAGGTTTAAAATTATAAAACATTTCGCTTACATAGGAAAGAGAATAAAGTAAATTGTTCTTTATGAAATTGGTCAGAAGAAGCTTACAATTTTGTATTGGAAAATTGCGAATTAAAGTCGGGAGGTCTGCAATAATGCGAGTAGAACTCGTAAGCTTCACAATATATATGTAAGTATTTAAGATTATTATTAATTGAATAGCTATTGAAATCGCATAGAATGGACAAGACACGAGGGATAGAAATATCAATAAAACTTATTGATAGGGTACTGACACAACTTTTTTTGACACAACGGTGAAGGAAAACATCGTGAGGAAACCTGCATATCTGAGAAAACGTAGCAAGTTTTCGAAAGGCATGTGAAGGCCGCCAACCCGCACTTGGCCAGCGTGGTGGACTATGGCCAGATCCCCCTCGTACTGAAGGGAGGCCCGTGCCCAGCAGTGGGTCGTTAAAAAAAAGGGCTGAATACTACTACTACAACTTTTTTGTATGAAGTTGTAAAAAATAAAAAAAACCTATTAGTAATATTTTAATAAAGACAAAAAACACGGGTGTCGTATTAATTATTGATTGAGCATTTATTACTAAAAAATCAACGATTAATCACATGACACAATTTATGTCAAGGAAGGAGGAAGTAAGTACTGAAACATGTGTTAAAAATGTATTTATTACGTAAGTAGATACATTAATACAATTTCATATACACATTGACATAAAGTAGAACAGAAAATTCTTTTTTGCAGTCAAAACTTCTATAGGCAGATTTGGATGGGGAGTGAATTCATGTAAGTCGTCATCGACATTGTCACGTGACGTGTTAACGCTAACACTCAGTGTACCGATAGATGTCAAAAATTGGTACCTATATCTACATATTTGTTAGTCCTGAATTAAGAATGGCTAAGTATATTTATATCGTAATAATAATATTACTGCAACTTACGTTTAAACTAAAAAGGTTCATTGATTTTAAAATCATTATAATATTAACACAAATCTACACCATAATAGTCTAAAGAGAAAGAGTTTGTTTGTTTGTTTGAAATCGCAGAAACTGCTAGTCCGATTTGAAAAAATATTTTTGCATTAGATAGCCCGTTTATTTACAAAGGCTAAATATAGGCTACTTATCATATAATATATAGTCTATCTATTCCATACTAACCGTTTAAACTTACCGAGGGACCCGAGCGAAGCAAGTGTAAGTCGCTATTTTATTATGAAGCTACGTAAAAACCAATTCTCAATAATTGATAAAGATTTCGCTTTCATACACTCAAAGACAGCGTATGAGTCCAAATTGTATGTCCTTTTCGTAAATCGGTCAAATATATTACCAAGTTTAAATATAAGGAATATTACAAAAATCTCGATATGTCGATACTTTATTTTAAAATAATACATTCGATGAGTAATAAATGAAAATTAAGCTGTATTTGTAAACAAAATCTACTTAAATAAAACAAATAGTATCTAACCATTATCATAATAATAATAATTATTAATAGTAACTTCGATGTAATTGACTGACCTTTTCACTCAAACGTTATTTTTATTTAATTTCAGATGCAGTTATCATCAAACGTTGATCTGGAATGGTAGCGGCGATCGAGGCTGCTACATCCGTTTTCTAAGGTCTTTCGTACCACGCCCTGTTGAAACGTCGATGCTTACACTATAATACGCGCCACTGCGCAATCGAAGGCAATTTGTTTAGATCTATTTTACGAGGTAACTAAGCTATAACTAAATATGTCGATGATTTTTTGCAATGCACTCTATATATGTTGGTTTGAATGCAAAAAAATATTATATAGTACTTAAGGTTGTTGACAGTGGCTGTCTGTATGGAATTTAAATTGATGTGAAATAAGATCGACTTAATTATTACCTTATTAGCATTAACATTCTTTCTAGCTCTATACCAATATTTGTTCAAACTACCTTCATCCGTTAACCAAATTTGTTAATCAATATGTTACATATATAATCCAATAGTGTTTTCGTTAAGTATTATACGTGTATAAAAAAATATTTGAAAGAATTTTAATCTTAAATAAAAATAAATCTGCAATCTTTTGTGTAGAACTACACTAGAACAAATAAAGTATATCCAGTTAAAACAAAAAATGCATCTTAGATTCCTTTTATAAAGGACCTCGCATTCCTCTGATAAGAAAAGAATATAATGATTCAATTAATTTATAACAATGTTAGGATTTGTAACCTCAAACCATCCAATACCTAAGAGGATTTTTTTCCTATAATATAATTTTAATTGACTAGTCTTGTGAGATTTGTAACCGAAATCAGTTAGGAAGATATCATCCTTATTATAATTCATCAGGCTCACGATCGCTTAGCCTATATGTAGTCTACGTACTAATCCAAACTATAATCTATCTATGTGCCAAATTTCATCCAGATCTGTTCAGCCGTTCTAGCGTGATTTCGTAACAAACATCCATCCAAACATCGATACATCTTAAAATGCAAGTAAGATTCAATCGTTATAGTTATTTGGGGAATTAATCGTCGCGGATATTCTGTAATTAAATTCATTTTAAAAAATTGAATGTTCGGTTTTAAAAAACGCTGCTTTTTCTTTATAGAATTCTAGTATACACTTTTTTATATTATTTTTTATTTAATTTAACATAATTTACAAATTTTGGCTGCACTACCGTGATTTTAATTAGTTCTGACATAATTAAATGTGCTTGTAGGTTTATGAACATATAAGGACGAGCTTTTATTTTTTAATCGCAAGTGACAGCAAGAGAATATTGTCGTTTACCTTGACTTTAGCGTATTCCAGTAGAAAAGTGGCACTGAATTATAATAAAAGTTTTATTACTAGTATCCGTTATCGCAGGATGCTGACATAGATTTAGTCATTAGAATTTATTACGCTTTAGAAATTTAATTCTTATAGGAATTGTAACTACTACCTAGGTAATGCTATTTTTTAGCCTTTTTTTCTTTAATATGCATATTATAATTCTAATGTTTAGTAATCGGTAAAATTTTACATTTTTCATATAAAGCGAGAATTCATTATAGAATAAATTAATTTAAAATATTGACTGCGATACACTTGTAATATATCTGCGTATATATATGTATATATTATATATCTTGAAAAAGTTATCCATCTAGATTAGGTACTGTAAATGAAATTTTGAAATATATCATGATTTACAATTATTATTTATCACTATAAAATCAAGATTAATACATTTTTTTAAGCCCATGTTGTTTCAATCAGATATAAAAAAATACCTGTATGTCTTTATATCTTACTGTCAGATTCCACTTATTTTCTAAAACTAGTAAATAATTATTAAGAAGTTATGACATGAGATAATAACCACTTAGACTTTCTATCCCAATATAAGATCAAATATAAAATATAGATATTTCTGATCACGATAAAGGCAATAAAAGATTTCTCAGAAATAAAATATTGAATTTACTATATGTAATAGCCGTTAAACTGCGAAAGTATTTAGATGAATTTTCATGCTATAAATCAATATAGTATTATAAAATAAAACCTGAAATTCAAAAATATGTTCCAGTCAGTAAGTAATGTTACGCAATGTATAATCCACTTATACAATAATAATAATTAAGTTCACATATATTTTCTTTCGTATACATATATGTAGATATTTAGATAAATACAATTTCATTTAAATAATCGCTTATTGAAATAAGAATATTGATACTAAAAATAACTAAATATGTACAACAAGTTAATTTATACAAATTACTGTTAAATATTTTAAGAAATATTTCATAAAATTATATATGAAAAAAAAAATATATATAAAATGTTAATTGTACAACGGTAAGCGGTACCATTTCCGGGTACGAATGATAAAGATAGTAAAAGTAAAGCGTCTCCAATAAGTTCTGTTTTATTTCAATTTTATAAATAAAAATAAATATTCAAACTCGGAAGTCGGAAACAAAACAATTGAAAATTATTCATAGTAACACTAGAAGTGAATTTTAACTGTAAACTGTTTATAATACATATACATAGGTCATGTATATAAAAATGAATTTTGTATTTTCATTATCCGATTTCTATGTATTCTTATCGATATGATGAAATAGACATAGATTATAATTGATTGGATGCTAGTATTTTTATTTGTATTTTTGTGTAACTGTTACATTCACTTATCTGATAAAAATTGAATTTATAATTCATATCTGCCAAGATACATGTCAAATTGCGACATCTTATTTGATGGTCACTGTGACCGTCACGGTCGCTCCAATATGTAGCGTGACTTACAAGAAGTACTCGTATTAACACCCAAGGCCAAGTTCTTTTATTACAAATATATGTCAAATCATACAAGGCAAGCATGATTAAACATTAAAATTATAACTTGCCGATGCGGTGGAAAATTTTACACCGCTGTTCATATAGAATGGGCAAAAAAAATCTGTAAATATTATAATTATTAAATTTTAAGCTTACACAGTTTATGATTTTTATAAAAACAAGAATCGTTTTAAGAAAACGTAATATATAATATATTTCTTAAGTTATTTTTATTGCTATATTACATATCAACAATAACTTGTCAAATATTTTCAACAAGCATTAAAAGTATATGTATTAAAAGATACTTTATTAACATACTTGTATAAAAATTATTACGAAAACAAATTAAATTACAACTGACAAATTTTATGATTTAAAAATACCTACATCTATGTAATATATTTTAACTTAAAATATGTTTAAAATAATATAATAATAATCTGAGCCATGCACACTTTTCTAAGTACATCGTGAACCACCAAACCGCAACACTGTGGTTAGAAGACATGTCCATCTATACTTTCTAGTTACGGGATCTGGTCTGGGCTGTTTTGTTTGATCTACATGAATAAGCTGTTACAATACTTTACACATTTCAATTATTAATACAAAATGTAAACCAAAATTTCATCTTCGTAAATGCACATGAATTTAATATTTAAAAGAAGCTGTATAATTTCGAGTTATTCCTGCCAATATGATTTAATATCATGACTTTATTCGTTAACAAGGTACGATATAACCTGAGGCGTCTTAGGCTGCTTTTTATTGAATCAATACCAATTTATTTACTCGAGCAAATTACGACATTTATCGATTTTTGAGAAACTATAATTATGGCTTAATTTTACTTACAGTTTTGGTCATTATATCGAAATTGTTTTAAAAAGTAATGATAGGTAAGAGATGTTTTCATTCTTTATTCAGTTTATATATTTGCTTTTTTTTTTAATTTGGTGTCAAAGAAAATAGTCTTTATTGTAAGAAATTAAAAAATCAATATAGCTATAATAAGATTCCATAGACACGCTTACATAACATCGGCCGAAAAGTTTTGGCCACTTCAGTACTAATTCATTACGCCTCGTACAAAAGAGTTCAACGATCATTGTTAAAATTATCACGAATCTCATTCAATACTAGAATCAAACTAGAATCATTTAAATGTAAATAAACTAAAGGCAAATACCAACAAGTATACTATTATAATAATCACACCGTATGCTTATCAACTATGCGAAAAGCAATTACTGTGCGATGTCAAAGACGTAAAATCGAGATGTGAGGCGGAAAATAGTGGCATTACTTGCGATCTTAACAGGGCGGTGTTGCGCCCGCGACTGCGCTATCGTTCAAGCCGTGCTCGAGTACCGTTAGAGGGAGAGGGAGTGAGAGAGTGAGGGTGTGTGAGCGAGACGCCGGCCGCGCCCCGTCCGAGCCATCCGGAAGCCTCGCTGAAACTGGACCGTTTTCTTTTCTTGTTGTTATTGAGATCGGCTCTCAAGTTCTGTGTTGTCGCGCGGCGCGCCGCTCGCGCTGATAACGCGATGCCACGCCGGCCTGTGCACGCGCAACAGCTTTAAAGCTCTCAGCTCTCGCTCGTCTGTGGAATGGATATTCGATGTGCTGTGCGATTGACTCGGATATTGTCATTTTTTATCAACAACGACAGTAGTGATAAGTGAAAACTATTTGTGTATTAACACTATTTCACAAGGATTTTTTTTTGGATTTTTATTCCTTTATTAGTGTATTTATTTGAGTTGAAAATAAAGCGGAGCGGATAACTTCAAATTGTTTTTTACTAAGCAGGTTAGTTTTTTAATATATTTTATAGTTATTATAGTGGTAATAACTTTTAATATGATTAAATCGATTAAAATAGCGAAAATTTAATTTATTAAAAAATCTTTGAAAATATATCGGGGTGATAATTAATATCAATACTTTTTTTTACTTTGTCCATTAAAAGTTTTGTAGTTTCTTATGTGTATGAAAATTAAATAAAACTTATATTTTGTTTCGAGAAAAAAACCAATAGTAAAATCTTGTGAATAATTTACATTTATTTAAATAAATTTACGAAGTATATAAAAGACTAATATAACTAATCATAAATCTCAAACATAATAAATAATTCAAACTAAATTATATAAAAACATCAGTGTCACATAATGTCAAATCAAATATATAATATATCACTCCTTTTGAATATTTTTAATTCATACCAAAAGATTAAAACAAGATTTATTACTGCCTTACTGCTTAATTTTATAACATACCTAAATGTTGTCAGGCTAATTATCATCTCATTAACTATAGAACATATAGAAATATATTGAAATTTTATTCAAACGTTTATTTTCTTTGATTCGACAATATACAAGGTACGTGATATGTTTAATTATGTGAAAACTACAGATGCGTGTACAATGAAAAGAAAAGCTACCTACCTTGCCCTACGACAGGCTAACAAAAAATGTAAATAAAACTCTAGAACAATTTCACTGTGATTTTCACTCTGTATAACAATAGGTTAAATAGAAATAAATAAAATAAACACGATAATTCGACCTAGTAAACCAGAAAGTGAGTATCGCGCCGCCGCACGCCGCCCGCCGGCTGATGAACATTTTTTGCTCTAACCGTGCTATTGTAGCCGTAGTTTTTAGATGTGCTTCATTGAAACCTTTTCAGTTTTATAACTAAATTTCTAATTTGTGAATTATTATATTTTTTTAATGAAAACTATAAAGTTTTCAGCTCTAATTGCTGAAATCACAGATCCATAAAGCAATACGTTTATCATGTTTAATCGTATGTTTCTTAACAATAAATGCATTTGCTTCGGTTAGTGTAAATTACAAATTTCTTTATAAGCATAAAAGTCTAATTTTGTACCGTTATAAAATAAGACGTTTTGATTTTTATTTATAAAATATACGATAATTGCAATTAATTTTAGTTTTTATTACAGTAGAAGTTTCCGGCTAACGTCGTAAGCACCTAATATTGAGTTTTTTTAAGTAATAGATAATTCTACAATTTTATATAACGAAAAAAAATTAGTTACTTAGACATTACAAAAAAATAAGTTTAAAAAATGTTGAATATTTCTAACCTATTAATATTAACATTCAATATAGATTTAAGCCTAAAACAAAAAAAAAATGTAAATTATTTTTTCCTATAATATTCCTAAATAGAAAAAAAATAAAAATATATGACTAGAAATAAAAATTAAAGGTTTATTCAGAGGGACATTAGAAGGGGCATATTGATTACAATTAAAAATTAAATCAGTTAAACGAAACCTGTAATTAAAACCGTTCAATTTACCACAATTTTTATTAGTAAACTATTACAATAGAAAGTGAAATGCTAATCTCGTGATATAACTGATATACTGGCACAATCTAAATAATTACGCGCCTAATAAGAGCACTGTTATCAGCGATCATTTATTACGAAGGCAATTTATATGCCCCAAACTTTTATTTTATTTTGTGTTAGACATAGAGACTGATATTTCATGAATCAATGCACCGATTGCCATCGATTTGCGCCGTCAAAAGTCAATCAAAACTTTTTTATTACCAACTGATCAAGATCGCAGAAAAAAATAAAATGGCCGTATCTTAAAATGCTGTGTCATCTCTGTTATTATAAAATAAAATAAAATAATTAGACATTTCGCTTTCACTACTATTGCGGGTATGCGTTGTTAGATAACTGATAGATACGTCTGACTTAATTTCGATCAGGTGCATGACAATATTCCGGTTTATTATCGAATGCGTCCAGCAAATGGATATTTGAAAATATTTTAATTATATAATATTATACTACTGTATACGCAGGCTTTTTTGGAAATAAGCTACATAGAAAGATTTTATTATATAAAAATGTGTGATCTGTTTTAATTGCGTTTCTGAAATATAAAGCATGTTTTTTTATAAAATACCATTGAAATTTTTTATGCTAAAATATATTTGAGGTGATTTTTAGAAATGTTAGCTTAGTCTATAAAAATATTTAATTTCATATTTATATTATTAATTTATTTATTTTTATATTAAACTAGCATTGCCCGCGGCTCCGCCCGCGGTTAGATTCCACCAAGACCAAAAACCAAATTCTTAGCCTTACATATTAATATACTCTTACATTGCAGTTTTTGTATTTTTTCTCAGAAATTAGATATTTTCCCGCGGTAAAAAGTATCCTATATGTTGACCCGGATAACCAGCTATTATCATACCCATTAAAATCTGTCCAGTGGTTTTCTCGTGATGCGGTAGCAGACAGGCAGACAGACAGACAGACAAAAATTCTAAAAACTATAGATTCGTACTCTGTATCGATGATAATGTCTATTTCAATAAGGTTTTCCAAAAAATATTTAATGTACAGATTCGATTTAGTTACAATTTTATTATATGTATAGATTGAATTAAAAATGTAGTTAATACAATTTTTATACCTATAAAGTGAAAGACAAAAAAATAATTATCGATTTTATCCGTTTAATAAAATAAATATTACATTATAATTAAATTATAACATGAATAAATAACAAAATAAAATATATGCAAAATACTTTATTTTTAAGTTAAATATTATATAAAAATAAAAGAACGTCTCAATCAGTATGTTGTCACTTTTTATTTAAATCCTCGTTGAACGATGGAGACACCCATGTAATTTAAATATTAATAGCGATTGTACTTTAGTCACAAAATTAGCTTCGGTGGATGTGACAAAATAGAACAATAAGTATTGCAGAAGGGCTTTATGCGAATAAATGTAATAAACAGTATAGAGTACTTTAAATATATATCTTTAAAATAGTTTTATTTCAAGAAAATTAACAGACATTATAGTAATAAAGGACAGTGGTAAGGTGCTCGCTTGGGAAACCGAGTGAAGTGCGTTCGAATGAAGTGGGTGCGAATCATTTCTAACTTGATCACTACTTGCCTTACGATGAAAAAAAACATCGTGAGGAAACCTGCATGTCTGAGAAAACCTAGCAAGTTTTCGAAAGACATGTGAAGTCCGCCATCCCGCACTCGGCCAGCGTGGTGGACTATGGCCTGATCCCTCTCGTATTGAAGGGAGGCCCGTGCCCAGCAGAGGGATGTTGAAAAGGGCTGAACACATAGTAATAAATTAATCTTTTGTAGAACTTACTATCAGTATCTTATGATCAAAAAATAATTTTATTAATGGTATTTCTATTAAATTGTTCTTAGGTTACAGATGACTTCAGAACGACTCGATACATTTGCATATAATTGCAGCTCACTTCTAATTATCTTCAGGACTGCATACGTGTATATTCCTTTCCTGGTACTAGACGATATAAATTACAATATACCCAGATAATATAACATTGTTTATCGACAATGAGAAGTTAAATTATATCTAGGGTACCGCCTTAACTATATCTATTATATACTAATTTAACCAATATAACGATAAATAGTAACTTATTTGAAGCTGAAGCCGTTAAATTATATCTATATAAAAATACACATGCAAATAACACTTAAATAACATTTTGAAAAAAGTTACATACAATAATACAACTAATTAAATAATTTTATGTCTCTGACAATAACAGTAATTCCAAACACACGAGTATAAAGGAGGGAAGTATCGCTTACAAACCATTACGATAGTTCGCGATAACGCGTTTACCGCTTTTAATAATACAAATTAACGGGCGAGATAACTAGTTATTCAATAGGTACAATGCGAAGATGTTATCAAGAGACATTTCGATGCTAAATACTATGCACCCATTTGCGACGATACCATCATCTTGGTTTGTTCTGAGCTATCTCAGGTCAAAACCCATTCCGCGTCTGTATATGGATAGATAGGTATACAGATACATAGATTTCCGATACTTCATTGTAATAAGATTATATGAATTGCCTGAATCTTATACGTATACTAGCATTGCCCGCGGCTCCGCCTGCGTTCAAATGAGAAAAACCTAATTCTTAGGCTTTACATATTAGTATACTCTTACATTACAGTTTATGTTTTTTTTTCTCAGAAATGAGATATTTTCCCGCGGTAAAAAGTATCCTATATGTTGACCCGGATAACCAGCTATCACCATACCAAATTTCATCAAAATCCCTCCAGTGGTTTTTCCGTGATGTGGTAACAGACAGACAGACAGACAGACAAAAATTCTAAAAACTATATATTCGGCCTCTGTATCGATAATAAAGTCTATTTCAATAAAATTTTCCAAAAAATATTCAATGTACAGATTCGGCTTAGTTACGATTTTATTAAATGTATAGATTTTATATGAAAATCTAAAATCTTATATGTTTTTTTTTAATATATTTAAAACTACGCTTGTCATCACTGTTGGATATAGCATTTAGGCCTCTCCCACGGCACATCACTCAGCTCGATGTTCAGTTCTACGCATCTAACCGCTATATATATATATATAGACATATATTCTATTAATATTATTTTAAATCCTGAAATACCTACAATACAAATCCT